AAGAAAGAGAAGAGACGTCGTCCTCAGAGGAGACTTGACACAGCTTTTAATTTTCTTAATGCCACACAATTCTGCCTGAATTTGATAGTGTGGGACAGATCACTCTGTAATCTGGGACACTTGTATTAACTTTAAAAACAAGCTCAACTTTATCAATTTAAATTTCATTTATTTTATTCATAGAAATGTCACTAAGTTATATTGAAATTAATACTAAATAGTGAATAACACTAGTAATAACAACTAAACATGTTTGAAAACAACCGGAAAAACATTTTAAACACCTCAATGCATATTTAGTTGCTTGAATACATCAAACAATTTGATAACAATCTAACATTGATTTATTCATGACAGATTTATATCCTCTGGACAGAATCTGATGTCATTAACCTTGTCTTGCGATTCTAATGGGGAGCTTCTGATTGATACTTGCTCCACATAATAACATTAATAACAAGCTTCTTACTTCTCTCTTGGTATCTTTGCTCATTCTCTACATCCAGATCGATGATGTTCGATGGCTTCTGTGCAGCAACCGCTTTCTCTAAATCCCACCAAATATTTTCAATGGGATTTAAATCCAGTGACTGACAAGGCCACATCGGGATCTATTTCTCGACCAACCTTTGGTTGACTTGCAGGTTTGCTTAGGATCGCTGTCTGTCTGCTGGAGAGTCCAAGGATCACCAGGATTCAATTTCTCACTGAAGGCGTCACATTCCTCCTTTAATTGCTCTGGTACTTCAGGGAGTCCATGAGCTACACGGTTCCTGCAGCACCAGACTCACTGGTCCATGTGTCCGAACAGTTCCAGTTTAGTTTCATCAGTCCATGAAACTGTCTCCTGAGACTCTGCAGTCCAACTTCCTCCTGGTAAATTCTCCTGCTCCTCTTGGTGAAGAGTGGAGAGCAGTCCTGAGTCAGGTCATGGAGTCCTTGTTTATTCAGTGAAGCACTTGTCTTCATCAGGTCATCTCTTACTCGCCCAGGCAGCTGCATCATAAGTTATAAACTTCCTGACAATGCTCCGAATGGAATGATCTTCAATTCCCTTCAGGTGCAATGAAACAATTTCCTCTCTCACATTTTGTGAAAGTTTCTTAGTCCCATGATTGCAACTCACATCCAACACCTTTGTGGGTGTGGTTTATATGAGCATCACACCTGAAGCATGTGACGGATCGTTATAGAATTCCCAAATGCTTAATCATGTTTCGACTCGACTCTACCATGAAATCACACGTTAACTCTGTTTCATGTTTAAAAAAGACTGAACATCTTCTTCACAAGGTTTTTATTTCAACAGTAAACCTCAAACACCACATTCCACTGTCTCCTCGTATTGACACTCCACAGAGTCATTGATATGAAAAATATAAACACTTTATTCTCTAACACTTCCTGAATGAAAACATTTCACCTGCAGAGAAATCAGCATGAAATATAAAATATGTACAAACAAAAAAATAAATCATTAATAATCTATAATCAACTTCATCTTCACTGTCTGTGGGATTATTGCAAAGTCACAGATATAAAATTAAATATCCTCAGAGGTTTAGATTCTAAAGTAAATTAATTTTAAACTGTAATGAATGAACTTTAAACTGAGATTAATAAAGTTTAATGTATATAATTTGTATTTTAAGTGAGTACTGAAATAACAAACCTATTAAACAAAGACGTTAATATATTTTCTTAAGATCGATAAATAACCAGTAACATCAGCAGCGGCCATCTTGGGTCTGATCCGCTCCCACGTGGTGTAAATGATGTCTTTCCTTTCCTTTTCAAACACCGTAACAGAAACTAATAAAACCATCAGACAGACATTTAAAACTAAACTTGTTATTTTGTTTGGTAAATGTTAAATAAAATAAAAGTTTAGAAGCAGCAGAGACATCGAGTTCAGGTTGTTTTTCATCCGAGGCTTTCAGCTCATGGCCTTCCTCAGGGGGTGGAGCCTGTTTCAGGAAATGAGCCTGGAAGTTTGGTCTCAATAATGTTTTATCTAGAAAGTGTTTTAACTAAACAAACAGAAATTTAAACAGTTTTACTTGAACTAACACAAAATAGTTGCATTATGGAAACAACTTCCTCAAGTTTGTGATCCTTCCTTCCTTCCTTCTCCTCCTTCACCTCCTCAGTTGTGTCCTTTCCTACCATCCTTCATTTCTCTGACATCATCTTGGGAGAAAAACTGATGAATAAATAAATCTGAGCCGATCACAATCCTCCTAGTGCCATGACATCACATCCTGTTACTTTGACGTCACATCCTGCTGCCGTGACATCACTTGCTCCTCCTACAGCGGTAGCAGCAGGCGCACCACCCCTTCACCTCCTCTTCGTCCCTCCCTCCATCTTCCTTCACCATGTATGGTGGGGGGTCAGCGTTCGGTGACCCGTACGGGTTCCCATCATTACTATTCAGAACCATTGGATTTGCTATCACCGTGGCAACACCATCAGTGGAGCGTAGCTTAGCCCTCGGGATAGTCACCTGACCGTACGGATTGTCCAGGGAAATGTTGATGTTCGATGACATGGTGGCGTGTCACAGGAGGCCGTGCTAAATCTGACCAATCAGTGAGGGAGCTCTGTGGAGGATGGACAAAAAGAGAGAGAGTTTAAGAGCGATGGAGGGAAGAGGGGGAAGAAGTAGAAGAGGAGGCTAGCATTAGAATGGCTACCTGACTTGATTTCAACTTTGAGCTAGCATTAGCACAGCTGACCTGACCTGTGCCTGAACTTGAGTTAGTCTAAACTCTGATTGAGCGTTAGCAGGGCTGACCTGACGTGTCCCTCTAGCCTCTGAGCTTAGCATTAACGTTTAACGTGACCTGTGGATCGACAGGTAATGACACGATAGGTCACATGTTTGCCAATCTTGTAGCTCATTGGCTAACATCTGACAACAGATTAGCCTCTGGGAGCGACAGCCAGTATTTTGGTTCTTCTGGTACAGAACGGTGATATTTGGGCTCAGCCTTCATCTCTGTGGACTGTTTATAGTCGCGCTAGTTTCTTTTATCACACGAGTCAAACATTTCTCCACAGAAAACACAAACAGTGACTCTTCTGTTGGGGTTTTAGGCCCAGATCACATGTTCACTAATCTCTTCTATCTGCATGTAAAAGACGATAAAGTAAAAAGCTGATGTATTTATGTCAACGTGATCCTTGTACTTTTAACTTTACTGGGGTACCTGTAGTTTTAGTGAAGTATTTGTAGTTTTACTGTAGTACATAGTTTCAGACGTACTTCCTCCTGCACTGATTGAAGACACCTTTACTTCATTCATCCGATAATATTTCTGTTTTGGTTGAAAGCTGAAGTTTAAGACAACAATGATAATGTGAGAGCCCACATTAGTTTCAGACTCACCTGTTCAGAGGCCACAGGGGTTTCTTCTTCTCCTACTTCTCCTTCTCCTTCTTCTTCTTCTCCTTCTTCTTCTTCTTCTTCACTCTCTGGTTGTAAAGAACCCCATATGTCTTCTCCTTCTTCTTCTCTGGGTTTTATCTTCTTTCTTCTGAAGTCAAGTCTCAAACTGAAGGAAACAACAGCAACAGTAAAAATCTGTCTCTCTCTCCTTTTTACTGTGTGTGTGAGGCTCGTTCTACCGCCTCGCCCAAACCTGTTCTACCACATGACGATGCCTCTCTCTCTCTCTCCCTCCCTCCCTGTTCATTCTCTATTGAACTCGACCACTCTCACCTCAAACCTGACCCCCCCGTGTTACTTTACCTCTCTCCAGCCATTCTCTCCAGAGCTCTCTCTGTGCTTGCATTGTTTGAAAAGATCTGATATCATTTATGATCATCTAAAGAAAGAGAAGAATCTTTCTTTACATTATATATTTGAATGTTTTACTCTTTGACTCGTCAGTGAGATTCCATCAGGAAAGATCATCTGCGTGTTGCTGTTTTCTATTCTTCTGTTTTTATTCTGATTCATGAGTTTTCATCATCATCTTCTTTCTACACTGTCAGCAGAGAGAAGAAGAGCAAAGTTTTATCATGACTGAAGTTTTGTTTCAAGTGTTTTCAGGAGCTCCATGTTCAATATAATCAATAAAGTCAATATAATAAATGTGATCAACATGGTCAATATGATTGTGTGTGTGTGTGTGTGTGTGTGTGTGTGT